TCGAACATGTAAGCATCCTGCCCACACGCTTTTATCTTTCTTGGTGACTTCAATCTATCTCATATTGACTGGACCCTAAATGAATGTACAACTGAACCCATACACGCAACCTTCTACAATGCTGTTACAAATCTGGGACTGGAACAACTAGTAACCAACAACACTAGACTAAACAACTGCCTCGATCTCATCTCCTGCAATAGTTTAAATTTAATTTACGGAATACAAACTAAAGAACCCTTTTCAAGCAGTGACCACAATATGATTGACTTTTGTCTCAACATACGCCCACACAAAAATCATCACAATGACGTAATCCCCAATTATAACTTCAAAAAAGGCAACTATAATCTTATAAACAATGATCTCTCATTCCTTGATTGGCAATTTCTATTCACTGGATGCAGTACTGTTGAAGACCATTACAACATATTTTTACTTGAAGTCAAAAGAGTCATCAAACTATATGTACCAACAACAACTCCCCAAAAAAAAAAAAAAAAACCTGATTACCCATAGCAATAAGGAAACTTCAATCCAAAAAGAGATCACTCTGGTGGAAAAACAAATCTGGTCACGTTGCCAACTTCAAAAGTCGATACAAAAATTTATGCTACCAGATAAAGACTGAATGCACCAATTATCACATTAAACAAGAGGAAAACCTTCTATGCACCAATTCCACCGGCACTTTTTACAATTTTGTAAACAAACTAAAAGACTCAAGGTCCATCCCACCCCTGATAGGACCTAGTGGTAAAGACTGCAACCATGACACCATTAAAGCCAACATCTTTAACACATCCTTCGGCTCAGTATTTGTAAACAGCAATGGATCATGCCCAGTATTTCCTAGCCGAACCACAGACAACTACAATGATCTAATACATATCGATTTTACAGAAGACAATATTGAAAAAGCACTACGCAATCTAAAACCATCTCTATCTATTGCACCGGATGGAATATGTGCCTACTTCTTAACAAAGCTATCCACTGCCATAGCCGAACCTCTAAGCATAATATTTGAAAAAACTTTCAGGACCAGCTCCTTGCCTAACCTATGGTCACAAGCCACGGTCATCCCCATCTTCAAAAAGGGAGACCCCAGCCTAGTTGAAAATTACAGACCAATCTCCTTATGTTGCGTCACCTGTAAAATCAATTATTAACCAATCCATTATCCTCCACTTAGAGACAAACAACCTACTCTCCAATAAACAATTTGGTTTCAGGAAAAAAACTATCCTGTAATCTGCAACTCTTACACTGCAAAAACATATGGACTACACCAGGGATCCCCAACCTTTTCGACGCCGCGGCCCGTTTCCGGCGTCAGCTGGGCGCCGCGGCTCTGTTTGGCGAAAAATCACTTCCGGTGATGTCACCGGAAGTGATTTTTCGTCAAAAAAAATGGCGGCGCCCAGCAACCAGCGGCCCGGTAAGGCTTGTTCCGCGGCCCGGTACCGGTCCGCGGACCGGCGGTTGGGGACCCCTGGACTACACAACTCGATCAGGGCAAAGCAATAGACACAATCTACATAGACTTCTGTAAAGCCTTTGATTCAGTGATACACGACAAACTACTCCTAAAACTACAATTTTATGGTATCTCTGGACAACTGCATAACTGGATAGAAGCATTCCTGTCAAACAGACAACAAATGGTCAAAATTGGGAGTGTCCTATCAAATTCTGTACCTGTCAATAGTGGTGTCCCCCAAGGCAGTGTTCTAGGACCAACTCTTTTCATATTCTACATAAATGACCTCTGTGGTCATATTAAGAGCAACTGTGTTCTTTGCTGATGATGTAAAGCTATTCAACACCACAGACAATACTGCTACCCTTCAAAAAGACCTCGACTATGTATCAGAATGGTCAAACAAATGGCAACTTCAAATCTCAACAAATAAATGCTCTGTCTTACATACAGGCAAAAAAACCCAGAAAATAAAATACAAGCTGAATAGTCAAGATCTTGTTGATGATCCAAGCTCTGTAAAGGACCTTGGAATACTCATCTCTAATGATCTAAGTGCTAGAGCCCACTGTAACTACATAGACAAAAAGGCATTAAGAGTTGTTAACCTAATCCTACGTAGCTTTTCTCTGGTAATATCACACTACTAAGTAGAGCATACAAAACATTTTCTAGACCAATACTCGAATACAGCTCATCAGTCTGGAACCCACATTATGTATCTGATATTAGCACAGTTGAGAAAGTCCAGAAATATTTCACAAGAAGAGTTCACTCCTCTACTCGTTGTACAATACCTTATGCCACCAGACTTGAAATTCTACCGTGTTTCTCCAACAATATGGCCTCCACCAATAGGAAGGCCCAGCATGTTTTATTGGCATAAAATCAAATTAAGCCCCTCCCCCCAAATTAAGGCCTATATTAAACATGTGAAATGGGGGGAATGGCGGGGGGGCTTGCCGTTAGGAAGTACTTTTGTTGCATACCCAGATATGGTGCTGCCTGCGTTGGTGGGGCACTTCGTATCAGGAGACCTTCCACCACCGTTGCTTTCCCTTCTCCCTTGCTGCCGCAGCGTTTAAAGCAACGCCGTGGCGTTTGGCGCAGCCATGCACGGCCAGCCAGGGCTCCTCCCTGCAACCGGAGCCCTGTAGAGACACTTGGCTTCAGGCGCTCCTGTTGCCGCCTTCTCTTTGCCTTCGAAGGTAAAGCCAATTCTTTTAAAAACGACGCCCTACTACAACAAAGCCTCCCCTGCCCAAGAGGGCAGCCCAACCCCACATGGGGAGGCAAATCTCCTGGGGCCGCAGCACAGGATCGGCCCACCCCGGGAGAAGCACCCAGCTGCCATCCCTGCCTGGCGCTGGACAGAGCGCGAAGAGCTTCGCCTGGGGCGCCCAGCACAGCTGACAGGTGGGCCCTACTTCCCGGCGAGCGCCTCCCTGCCGGAACCTCCGCTCATCCCACCAGGACCGCGTCGGAGCTGTGCGGGCTGGGCAGTGCTGGGAAAGCGAGCCGCGGGTGCGCGCCCGTCTGCCAAGCAAAAAAGCCAGGCCGACCCAAGCTTGGCTTCCTTCCCAAGTCCCTCCAGCCCGAACCCGAAGGGGCCACCAGGAGAGGCTGCCCGAGGCAGTGATAGTGCCCACCCATCCGTGGACAGGGAGGCAAGGCGACGGCCTGCACCACGTCCTCCTCTGAGCTGAGCCCCGCCGAGTCAGCGCCTCTGCCTGATGCCCGTTCCGCTGCAGCATTTGGAGCTGCTGGCGCATTTGGAGATGCATGGGGACGGGCTGGGTGAGGGGTGGAAAGGACAGGGGGCTTCGGGCTCTCTCCGATGGCCAGAGAAGCAGCGCTGCCATCACCTCGCCTCCCTGTCCGCGGACGGGTGGGCGCTATCACTGCCTCGGGCGGCCTCCTGGTGGCACCTTTGGGTTCGCGCTGGAGGGACTTGGGAAGGAAGCCAAGCTCAGGTCGGCCCGGCTCTTTTGCTTGGCAGGTGGGTGCGCACCCGCAGCTTGCTTTCTTGGCTCTTCCCAGCCCACACGACTCTGGAGCGGCCCTGGCGGGATGAGCAGAGGGTCCAGCGGGGAGGCGCTCGCTGCCTTGGTGAGAGCTCTGCTGCCGGGAAGGAGGGCTTGCCTGTCAGCTGCACTGGGCGCCCCAGGCGAAGCTCTTCGCGCTCTGCCCGGCGCCAGGCAGGGATGGCGGCTGGGCGCTTCTCCCGAGGTGGGCCGATCCTGTGCTGCGGCCCCGGGAGATTTCGCCTCCCCACGAGAATTGAGTGTCTCCGCCGGGCTCCGGTTGCAGGGAGGAGCCCTGGCTGGCCGCACATGGCTGCGCCAAACACCGCGGCGTTGCTCTAAACGCCACGGCAGCAAGGGAGAAGGGAAAGCAATGGTGAGGGAAGGTGTCCCAATACGAAGTGTCCCACCAACACCGAGGTCAACATCCAAGCTGTTGCCGCCTGCCCACCCGAGGATGCAAGGGGGGGGGAATTAAGTCACCCCCGAAAAGACGGCCTAGCCATTTTTTCGGGGGTCAAAAAAAAAAAAAGGCCCAGCCTTATTTTGTGAGAAACATGGTAGACCTAGAAAACCTTGAATTACGCCATCTTCGGTCTGATCTAAGTTTGGTATATAAAATCATACATTGCAATGTCCTACCTGTCAATGAATACTTCAGCTTCAACCATAACAACACAAGAGCACACAATAGATACAAACTCAAGGTTAACCACACCAAACTTGATTGCAGGAAATATGACTTCAGCAACAGAGTGGTCAATATCTGGAATACTCTACCTGACTCCGTGGTTTCTTCCCCAAACCCCAAAAACTTTAACCTTAGACTGTCTACTATTGACCTCACCCCTTTCGCGCACCAATGTGCCTACCGTCCCTGTCCTATTGATTCTTTTATTTTGCTTACATGTACCCATTTCATATATTCATAACTATGTATATACTTATAGACATTATCTTGTAAGCGATTGACAAATAAAAATAAATAAAAATAAAATAAATAAAATAAAACTTTACTCCATTCCTTCTCATAAATGTTTTCCTTCTTCCCAGTTTTTAAAAAGCATTTTCCCCTTTAACAAGCTGGTTGGATCAATAATAATTGGTGGTGAATCAGTCCCCTGGATGGACTTTTTCGTGCGGCTGCTCATAAAAATAGGATCGCCAACATGAGAAGAAGGAGGGGGAGGAAGAAGGGAAAAGGGAGGAAAGGAGGGAGAGGGGAGGAGGGAAGCAGAAGCAAAAGATTGTAAAAATCCCCCCCCCCCTTTGACGAGCTGGTTGGGCCGATAATAATTGATTGGGGGTCCGTCCTGTGAATGCTTGCTTCTCTCCAATTCGTTCTTTTAAAAACTTTTTTCCCTTTTAAAAAGCCAGCAAAGACGACCGCAAGAACAAGAACAATTCACTTCGGTTTCCCGTCTGCTCAGAGCCCAAAGGGCGTCACCGGGAAAGGCACGAAAACAGCTTTCTCTTTCCTTTTGGAGGCGGCGATGGCGTCCGGAGCGTCTTGGGAGGGTTTCTTGGAGGAAGCCACCTGCTCCATTTGCCTGGACTATTTCCAGGACCCCGTGCTCATCCAGGAGTGCGGCCACAACTTCTGCCGGGGCTGCCTGACCCGCAGTTGGGGGACGTCGGAATCGGAGGCTTCCTGCCCCCAGTGCAGACAGACCTTCGCGCCCCGCAGCGTCCTCCCCAACCGGCAGCTGGCGCGGCTGGTGGAAGAAACCAGGCGATGCGGAGGCCCTTGGGGCGAGGAAGGGGGGAGCTTCTGCCCGAAGCACCGGGAGCCCCTCAAGCTCTTTTGTAAGGACCACGAGACCCTCATCTGCTTGATCTGCGACCGATCCAAAGAGCACGAGGGCCACTCGGTGATCCCTGCGGAGGAGGCTGTCCAGGAATACCAGGTACGAGTCAGCCAGGAGGAATCGCTGCGGGGAGGCATCCAGATCCTCGGCCTTCGGCCTTCCTGTCAATCCTTCGATCACTTTACTTGCTTCCTCAGCAGTAAAGGAGCCAAGACACCAAACCAAAATACAAATTTTATACAGTTCAGATTAAGGAATTTAACACTCTAAGAATCACTCATTGCTTCCTTGAAATGTGTTTTTTCTGATGTCCTGGACTACTTTATTTACTCCTTAATACATTGCAGATTTTATGTTAATAAGATTTCTTATCAAAAGAGGTGTGTGTTTTATTATTATAATAAGGTAGGAGTTACTAGTTTTCATCTATCTGCCTTAGCTAGCATTCCTCTAATGGAGTCCTTCTAACTTTTCTTGTAATTTTCTTGTCCCCCCCCCCCCCCAAATTCATTACTGGTCTTATTATACTCATCTGCAACTTTCTCCTTGGCCATTCCTTTAACAAATTTCCCTGATTCCAGCCTGAGACCTTCATCTCCTGTTTTATCCTCTGTGCCTGCAATTCTTTGAAGAAAGATTTACCATAGTTTTACAACCATTTGTTTCATGACTGTTCGAAGTTACAGCACCATTAAAAAAGGGACTTATTATGAACTGAGTAGTCAAGGGATGGACGTTGCATGATGGCCATAAGTCCAGATACAATCTCGATATGAGAAAGATGCTAAAATGTATGCTTTTAATAAAGAACTCACAGAATTACACCAGATATTAACTGGGACAGATGAAAAATTAATGAAGCTATATAGCTATTTATTAAGCATCAAATTGGAAAGTGAGCAAGGAGAGAATGGTAGTTTGGGCTAAAAACTTTGGATATACAATAGAACTGGATAAATGGCAGAAATTGTGGGATAGGAATGTTCAATTAACTATGTCAACTGCATGTAAAGAAAACTTGTATAAAATGTTTTATAGGCATTTTTCACCAACAAGATTGGCAAAGACATTTAAAGACATGTCCGCTAAATATTGGAAGTGTAACCAGACACCTGGTTCTTATTATATGTGGAGGACATGCCTAAAGGAAAAAAAATATTGGATGAAAAATGATAAAGCAATATATAAATTTGAAACCAGAAATATTTTCGTTGGGCATCCTACTGGAAAAGTAGGATAAAGGGAATATATATTTGATTTTACATGTACTAACTGCAGCCAGAATTGTATTTGCACAACAATGAAAAAGTGAAGAGATCCTGACAGATGAGAATGTAATTAAAAAAATATTAAAATCTGCAGAAATGGACAGATTAATGCTTACAATTAAGGAACAGGAAGGAATTGAATATTTCTCGACATTGGACTTATTTTACCAATGGTTAGATAATAAAAACAGAAGTTAGAAACATGGGGGTACAAAAAGGATTAATGTTATAAAGGAGATTTGTTAAAGTACCTAAGTAAATTATTATAATTATTGAATTAATATCAATGTGATGAATATTATTGTAAACATTTTGATTATGATTTCCTAAAAATAATTGCATCCAGACAACACACTGTTTAATTGAAATTGATTTTTATATGTTATATAAAACAAAAAATTTGAAAAAAGAAAAAAAAAAGGAACTTATGACAGTTTTCACACTTATGACCATAGGTAAGCTTGTGAACCTGCATGTACTTATGATGGTTGCAGTGTCCCTGTCTTGCTTAGCAATGGAAATTGCCTCTAGGGAGAACAGAACAGAATAACAGAGTTGGAAGGGACCTTGGAGGTCTTTTAGTCCAACCCCCTGCTTAGGCAGGGAAAGACTCCCTTTGCCAGCTCACTTTCCACATTTGTACTAGAGCAAAATTGTCATGGACTCTTCCAAAATATAGAGTGCAGATCCCGAAAAACACTCCTGCTGGATCAGCCCAAACTTTCATTTCTCATTAATGCTTCTGGAATGACTGCAACCTGAGTCTCCTGACTCAGGCAGCTCCGTTTAATGCCCTTGCAGGTAGTCCTTGACTTAGAAACACTCGTTTAGTGACTATTCGAAGTTATAACGGCAATGAAAAAAGTGACATAAGGTTTTTTCCCCCTTGTAATCATTGCAGGCATTCTGTGGTCACATAATTCTTTACTGAAAAGAAACTCAAGACTTGTATTTTCTCTTCAGATTAAGGTTGAAGATTGCCTGAAGCCTCAGAAGGAGCAGAAAGAAAAAATAGCTCCTTACAAAAGAGACACAGAGCAAACAGTGCAGGAGATGCTTGTAAGTATTGATCCAATGCTGAGGAGCTTCTGAGCTAATAGGAAGGAGAACCCCATCCGCCATCTTGGATAATAGGCAGCCTGTTTGCAAGTACAAGTTCTGACTTAAAGGAAATTCAAGTTAAAGACAGTATTAGGGCACAGAACTTGTTCTTAACCTGGGGACTGAGATGTCACCATTGCCTGAATGAGTCACAGTCGGGTTAAGTGCAGGCATCCTGTATTTTATACAATGGGTTGGCATAATAAATTAATGCAAATCTTATTGAAAAAATTGCAAAATCACATATTTTGTGTCAGAGTGTGCACAGTTTGACTGTGTGAGAAAACCCAGGAGCAAATACAGCAAACAGAGGTTTGTATTAAATAGTGGTTTTATCTACAAAGAATATATATACATGTCAGACCTGAAACAATCGGCAATCAGCAAATTATATCAGGGAAGCTCACACTGAGAGAGAAAGACGCTCTAACACGGCCTCTTTTTATTATACAGGCTCTTAAAGTGATAACAGCCCAACAACCTTGTTGACTCATTCTCAGCATTACATCATTGTAGCATTGCCTCATTGTAGCAGCTCTTAAATCATTACCCTGACACTCCTCCCATTTAAAGCTGAACAGTTGTCAATCTATGCTTTAACATATTCATGATGCTTTCTATCTCTACTATGTCCTTTCCCCCTGCTTCGACTTCTACTCTTACTGCTACAAAAACTACTAGTACCAGTACTACTGCTGCTACCGGAACTTCTACTTTCATTTTCTAACGGCTGTGTACATCTGCCATATTAATTTCTATTACATCCCGCTCACCATCTCTTGGCTGAATATCTTCACTTATCACTAGCTCAGCTTCCTCAGTTTCTGCCTGTCATTCCAGGGTGGATAAAAATGGATGATTTAAAAAAAAATTAAAAAAATAAAACAGATTTTTTAAAATTTAAATTTGATTTTTTTCCCCATTTTTTCAAATTTATTTTAATAAAATGCTTTTGGAGCAAAAATCTATGTAAAAATAGTTTTCTATTTAATATACATTAATAATTTAGTTTATTTATCGTCAATGGAGCTTAGTTATGTAGCATGAGGCTGTATATTCTACAATATTGGGACTGTCAGTGAGTCAACAGCAGGTCAGAGTGGGAGATCTTGTGAGACAGGGATGACAGTTGCTCTTTAAAAATTATCATTTAAATCCAGTTGATTTAAATCAAGCCTTTTATTAGTGAATTAAATCATACATTCAATAGATTTGATTTAAAGTGTGATTTAAATAGACTTGATTTAAATCAAATCCACCCTGTGTCATTCTCTTTAACTTCATATTTCTTGGTAATTACGGGGTTCATAATGAACAGTACATACTCTAACCCCACTTGCAGAAGACCAATCAGGAGATATACCTTTATTGCTTCTTTCAGATGTCCTTCCTGTCATCTGTTCCTGTGTTTCTTTGACTTCTCTTTTTAACTCAGGTCTATCCTCTTCTATGTCTACTGCTTCTGCCCTGCTTTCCTGACTTCTTCATTGGGCTTCTCCTTCCAGAGAACTTGTGCTATGCGTTGGCATGAACACCCCAGAATTAGCATCTGTGAATGTATAACCTTTAGAACCTGGCTTATATCCAATAAACTTCAATTTCCTGGCCTTTTTCTGTCCTTTTCGTTTGGCACCTTTGGGACTATGCACCCAGGCATAACTGTCAAACGTTCTTAGGCGAGCCAATGATGGTTTTCTTCCGTATAATAGGAAATATGGAGTTTCATTTATAGCAACACTCCATACCCTGTTTATTAAATAATTGGCTGTTTTCATGGCTTCCCCCCAGTATACTCTACTCATTCCTGCATCTGCAAGAGTCTTTCATGGTTTATATTATGCCATTCTTTCTTTCAGGCAATCCATTTTCTGCTGGCGAGTACGGTTTCGTATGTCTATGCCTTATACCTAAACTCCTCAACCATCTTTGAAAATTATCAGACATGAACTTTGTTCCCCTGTCTGTCTGCAGCTGGCATACTTTACAGCCGTACCTGCACGCTACACGTCTTACCCATTGTTTGAACTGTTGCAATACCTCTGTCTTGCTTTTTAGCAGATAGCAAAACCCGTATCTAGTGTAATCATTCACTATGACTAGGGCATACCTAACCCCTCCTAGAGAGGGTGTCTTAGGGCCAATCAAGACAGCGTGCACCAACTGCAAGACTCTGTTTGCCTTGAGCTATTCTTACTCACAGGATACACCCTGGGCTTTGACTCTTTACAAACAGCACAATCTTAAGTACATCTTGTATTGCTTTAGCTTAAGTCCCTCAGCTAGGTCTGGCATCTTCTGCAGTACTCTGAAATTTGGACGCCCCAATCTCCTGTGCCATAAATGTACACAATTGTCATGTGTGGGAGTGTTTGTAAATGTTCATGCACAACTATTCTCCTGCTTTCCTAGCATGTACAGATTATCCTGCTCAGCCTCTTGCGCATGAATTCTTCCACCTTTCCTTATGGTATATTATCCTCCAGCAAACAGTATTTCACACCCCTGACTATCTAAACTTGAAATACTCAATAGATTATGGTCTAATTTCGGTACATACAGTACATTGTGTAATGTTTCCTCTATCTCAGATACATAGACTTTACCTTTAACAGCAGATTATTGTGACAATTGTTTGCTTAGCTGGACTCAGGCCTGAAAACATTTGTAAGTCATTTGCAATATGCTGACTCACCCCACTGTTCAATAACCAAGTGTTTCTAGTGTTTTCAGATGATGTTGCTGCCAGGGAATAAAATGATGGTGAAGAACCACTCCTCATGTGTTGAGTAGCCCTACGCCCTTTTTTCGCTGCTCCTCTATTTCTCCTCTCAGGGCAGTGTCTCTGGAGATGCTCTGTAGAGCCACATGTGCAGCAACGTTTCCCTCTGTAAATGATCTCATCTGCTCCCGTAGCATCTTGGGATGTTGCAGTTGTTGACCTGAACTGAGCATTATCTCCTCCCCTTCCTAGTTGCTTCTCCAGCCATTTCTGTTCTTCCTCCAGGAATCGGCCAGTCAAATACGTCATGGTTAAGTCCCTCTCTTGCATAGACTCTAGGCTAGTCACGAGAACGTCCCACCACATATACGTTGTGTGCCTCAATAATGTCATTCCTCTTTCCTCTAATTCAAGGAATGTCTTTTTCATAGACTGCAGATGTGTGGACATGCTCTCCCCCGGTTTCAGTTGTGCTTTATACAGTCTCCTTGTCAACAACACTTTACTGCCCGCCGTATTTCTGACAAAAACACTGCGCAAAGTCTCCCAGCACTCTTTCGCAGACTAGAAACCCCTCACGTGTATCAACTGACTATCCTCCAAAGCCAGGATTATGCTGGCTAATGCTTTTTCATTCTGTCTCCAGTCCCCATCATTCAGGACTGCTGGTGGATCAGTAACTATCATACACAACTCCTCCCTTCGCAGGTACATCTGCATCTTTACACACCAGGAGAGGTAGTTTGTCTCATTTAGCCAAGACACCACGAAACCTCCCCCCATTATGCTAACAGAATCCATGTTGCTTGTTTCCATTACAAGCACTAACCACTAACAAACCACAACGCACAGCCCCTCTGACTCTGGAGCAAGCTCTCACTGGGTTTCTCTTCTCTCTGGTCCCTCTAGTCACTCTGGTCTTCTCTCTGGACTGGGCCCATAACCTGTCAGAGTGCGCACAGTTTGACTATGTGAGACAACCCAGGAGCAAATACAGCAAACAGAGATTTGTATTAAATAGTGGTTTTATCTACAAAGAACATATACATACACGTACTTTAGTCAGCAATAACAGCCCAACAGCCTTGCTGACTCATTCCCAGCATTACATCATTGTAGCATTGCCTCATCGTAGGCAGCTCTTAAATCATTGCCCTGACAGTTTTATAAAATGGTTTGCTTTCCTTAATAAATTAATGCAAACCATATTTTGTCTTATTGTCTTATTTTGTCATCTCAAAACATTTTTCTGCCTACTTTTTTTGGAATCCCCGTCAAGAAAATTTTCGTAAGATATCATTTAAACCGGAACCTTTTTTTAAAAAAAGAAGCCTCCCCCCCACACTTTTTAATGTCAAAAGGTTTTTTTTCTCCTTAGGAAATTCTCCCACCTCACTTCTGGATTCTTCAAGGAATCCATTTCATTATTATAACAATTAAAATAAAAATAATTAAGTAAAACAATTAAAATTAAAATACGCCTTTTGTTTTTTCTCTCTTGTTCTAGGATCTCATTGAAAAAGTGAAAAAAAATGTAGTGGCTGAATTCAGAGAGATACACCTCTGGTTAGAAGGACAGGAGAAGCTTCTGCTAGCTAGAATGGAAGAGACGGAGGAGGATATTATGGCAAGAAAGGAGAAGGGTTTGGCCAAGCACAGGAGGAACTGAGCTCTCTTGACCATCTGATCCAGGAGATAGAGGAGAAGCTTCAGCAGCCAGCCAGCCAACTCTTACAGGTTCGCAAGAGATCAAGGACAAGCTGCTGGCACCTGGAGGGGAGTGGACGCAGTTTGACAGTAGCTGAGACAGGAGGTTGATAGGGCCATGGATCGTGAAGGTCACTGAATGGAGCAGGGTGTGAGTTTTAGTGTGGAGGGGGCGGAAACGTGAGAATTCAGATTGGGGTTTTCCCCAGATGTGCCAACATGACTGATGGACTTTGTCTCAGAGTTCTGAATTGTATTGAGGTTTTACTTGGAACACTGACATCAGGCAGGAAGTTGAGATCATAGAATCATAGGGCTAGAAGGGACCTTGGAGGTCTTCTGGTCCAATCCTTTGCCCAAGGCAGGAGTCCTTATTAAGACCCTCTCCTTTTTTTTTTCTTCTTCATGAATTTAATCCAAATTATAATAGTGAAAGGTACAAATGAAAATAAAGAAAACAGGGAAATGGAGAAGGATAAGAATGGGAAAAGAAAAAAAAACATTGTCTTTCAACTTTTTTTTCTGCACAGTAAAATACAAAATAAAATTACAGCCTCAACTTTTTATTTTTGCATATTTAGTCATTATCAGCCATGTCTATGAAAACAAATGAGTCTAATAAGCAAAATCAAGCATTAAGAGTTCATTATTTCTATCTCGACCACAAAGTTCAGAAGCAGCTTCCAAGTAGAAACAATTAGATCAAATTAAAACAGTCAAGTTTTTTCATTTTTTTCTAGCACCATCACTTTTTCCATCCATTCTTCTCTTGTGGAGATTGATCTATCTTTCCTTGTCTGCATGTAGGATTCTGGCTGCACTTAACAAGGTTCAAAATCTTTTTTTCAACTCTTTATTTAGTAATCTTTTGGACTCTTTTCTATGAAAAGGAAACCGGAAGGTATGAAGGCTACAGGTTGTCCTCGACTTATGACCACAATTGTGCCCGAAATTTCTGTTGCTGAGTGAAACAGTTGTTAAGCGAATTTTGCCCCATTTTACGACCCTTCTTGCCACTGTTGTTAAGTGAATGACTGCAGTCCTTAAGTTAGTAACACAGTTGTTAAATGAATCCAGCTTCCCCATTGACTTTGCTTGTCAAAAGGTCACAAATGGTGGATCATATGACCCCAGAATGTCATAAATATGAATCAGTTATGAAAGTGGTTGAATTTTGATCATGTGACCATGGGGATACTGCAACTTTTTAAAGTGTGAAAAATGGTCATAAGTCACTTTTTTCTGTGCCATGGTAACTTCGAACGGTCACTAAATGAACTATTTAGTCAAGGACTACCTGTAATGACTAATACTGGAGATACAGAATGGAATACAGAAAAAGCAGGCCATGCGAAAAGCAAGAATTCAAGCTGCTGGTCACTGTCTCTGTATATTTTTCACAATATGAGGCTCCTATCACCTATTAAGGGGAGTGGTGGGTGTTCCTTTGAGGGTCTCCCCCTCCCCTTAATCTCTAGAGCAAGGAGAAATCCAACACTGATGGCCTTCTACAAAGTTATAACCGCCTGGATTTTCCAAAGTACCTTGATTCTGGAAGCATGAATGCAGGGCATTTTTTTTATCCTATTGACGCACTATTTTGTTTTTCAAAAAGTCTTTGTTTTGCTATTATATTTTTATGTGTATGTATGTATGTATATCTGTCTGTATATAGATAGACACACTCTATCTATCTATCTATCTATCTATCTATCTATCTATCTATCTATCTCTGATAAGAAAGTAAAAATAATACCTCTCTAAAAGAAGTGGGAAAAAGAAGTGGCTGGGGAAAAAAGAGCATATATATTTTCTTAAGTTTTCGTGGGTATTTATATGTATGGTATTTATATGTATGGTATTCAGCTTTGTTCGGGTATTTTCCCACGTCATTATAGTTGTGCTTTTAAAGTTG